CACACACTTAGACCTCCTACAACTGTTGGAAAGCAAGAGGCCATACAGTCTCAGCGAATAGCCTCCAGTCCCTACAGTACACCTAATAAATGCCTACCATATATCCACAGTTTAGCTGAAGTCCCTTTGGCACAGACAATCCCTCTTAACACCAAATATGAGTTTTTGATATCTACACACGTCATTTACCGTGAATATAAAGCTGGATACAGACAATAACTTTGAAAGAAATCAAAGAAAAACACCACTAATGGGTTAGTGATTACTGGAAGAATGTTGGTGGTTTTCTTCTGCATGATCATGTTCAAATGTTAGATTACATTTTTGCTATCCGCACAGTAACGAGGAAAACATGTTGTTCCTGGAACGATGACATATTTGTTGGCAGTTGTACAATAATTATTTGATATTAGGTGTATGTGGCATTCATGCTTCTTGAAGTACACACACTCTTTTATACTAATTTTAGATGTATTGTCAGACACATGCTGGTAAAGTAGACACACGAGTTGACATTTCCAAATTGCATTACAAACACTATTACCGAAAAGCCAGCCTGTAGGGTAATTCCTGTGGTTTTAGTTTTAAAGAACACATCTCCCTTTAGCATACAGTATATTCAATGCATCTAAACAAGTATTAGCATATGTCTGTGTGAGTGTGTTCACAATCATTCAGTGTGCTTCCCCAGATGGGTGCACAGTAGGGGGCTGCCTGGGGTCTATCACCTGTTAGTGAAAGTCTAATCATGAACATAAATAAGTCCAACAGTCATACTGCACATGCAAATGTTTCCACTTTGATTACGACATATGTCTTTCTTGCTAAAAAGAGGATTGATCTTTTTTCAATCCTCCTCTTTTCCATATGAATTTACAAAGAAATCCCCCTGGTCATCGTTTGGAGTCTCTAGTTGGATTTCTATCCTGCTCTGCTGTTCTGCATGGAAAATCTACTTCAATCATCTGGTTTTCACCTTCATCCCGACATGTTCTCTGTTCTCTTCCTCTAGCCCCTCCTCGGGTTCTCTTTTTCTCACGTCCTCTTTTCTAACACTCAGCATCAGCGTCTTTCCTCAGAGTGGGGCTGCTGAGCTGAGAATGAAACACTATTGTTGAGCAATTCTAATTGGACTGCATGTGAGTGCAGATTGTTGGTTTTCGCAGTGCTATATGCTAATAATTAGGCCTATATTCTTTTCTAGGAAATGTAAGTCAAAGAACTTGAACTGGCAGTTGTTCTACTCTCTTTTCTTGTCGTCGTCTATGTGGCCGTCTAATAAAACATGCTTCCAGTTTTAAGACAGTTTGTACATAGTCCAGTAGGGTGATAGCCTGTTCTGAGGAGTGTTTGATTTAGTCCAGTGTGTTCTATTCTATCCCAACTTGAGCAGGAACCCAAAGGAACAAGATTCAAAGCCCCATAATTCAATCAAAGTAGTAAGTGCAATATGTATTCACAATATCCGACTTTGAAATGGGAGTTAGATTTTTTATCCAAACTCTCATTGCATACAAACATACAGTAGCCACAATATGTCTTAATAGCTCAGGCATCACATTCAATCCCTCCCAGCAGAATTTAACTTCCTCACACCCCCTGCTGTTACCCCTGACCCCTACAATTTCAGCACTCTAACTACATTTGCTTGAGTGACCCTGACAATGGCCTGCCCCCATGTATCACTGTGACTCATAGCTGGTTCTGTTGTGGTCTACGATTGTACTAGCCCGGACCCTGCAGGAACCGCCCGTGGCCCCTCATGCTGAGGCCCTGTTTTTCTGTCCGATACGTTGGCGGGCAGTGATCGCTCCTCTGTGGCCGGCTCCAAGCCCTCTGGCCAGCATTAGCCCTCCACGCGTTTGTTAGCTTAACAACATGTCGGGAGCGCTCGCTGGGTTCGCTGTGTAGCCGCCAGCATCGGTCACGGATGATTCTGAGTGACAGCGGGGATGTTAGCTGGACCACAATGTAATGCAACATAAACAAATTAAAATGCCCCATTGCCCTTTTATTTTTAGCCCCCGGGTTTCTGAGAGGTCACCATGGGTCTTAATCTCTCCGTCACATCTACACAGTGACATCAAACCAAACGTGCATCATCTATCATTTCCTGATTGTCATGATACACATGTTGTCATCAATGACTGATTAGCAGCTTCACTCTCCAGAGTTGTTTTGATTAGGGTTGGGGCGTAATGATTACATTACTGTGTTGGAGTACTCAGGGCTGCCGCAGCAACCACACAGCCTGAATAGAGACTGATGGCAACACCCTGCAGCCATTGGCTGTCGGCTCGTGTTCCATTGATCCGATTGTATTAATCAAGGTTGTTTACAGAGTGAACACAGAGACCAATGATGGATGACTGCTGGTAATAATACAACACTGTGCAAACATCACACCTCTCATTTGCGGTGATCACAGTCAATAAGCTGCAATCATGGCTATTTTGACTCTATATAGGCATCTCTCTGACATCTCTTTAGCTCCCATGTGACACTTTTAGAAGGTGGAAGGAAATGTGGCAGAGTGACAGAACAAGCTAACAAAAGAGATGAGAACAGGGAGCTTCTGTTTATTTTGATCACAGCCCTTTGCCCTGCTGATCTCCAAGACAGAGTGAGAGGGCATAAGTGGCAAGATGAGAATGAATTGCTTTTTAATAATCGCCAGCTCTTTTATTAATGAGCCCCGTGTTCCCCTTTGTAGTTCTAGCAAAGAGTCTCTGCTTGTTGCTCCGTTAAAGGCTCAGAGGCTCATGTAACCCTGGCCCGCTAGTCCTCTGCTTCCTTGTTTGCAGTATTACCTAGCCAGCCATCTCATACTTGTGAATCCACCCAGCTGTTTCTACAACCGTTGACCCCTTCAACCCACCTTAAGACAGGAGTGTGTGCCTTTTCTGTGATTTTCCTCAATTGTGTTTTTACCGTGTGTTGCACTCTGCCCCTACAACCTAATGTAAGTCCCTCGCTGCTATTTTACCACCTTCTGCCCAGAGCTTTTTGTTGCTGGGCTAGCCCATGGCAGAACTGCCTATATATCTTAAGCCCCCTATTGTTGGTGATATTATGGCCAAATGGCTCCTGCGTGTAGCACTGGCCTCTGCTCTCCTGCGGCCTTTAGTAGTCAAGTCGAGTAAATATTTCATGGACCCTAATCTAAAGGGCAGCCATTCCAAATAATTTGTGCTGCGCTAGACTATTCTAACTTTTACGATCTTACATCAGCCAGCTCTGCCGCTGCTCTGTTGTACTTTATTTCCAAGTTTTTGGCTTCGGTTTACTCCGTTTTTCATCTTCATCCCGTTTTATATTTCCCACTCTATCCTCCTATCTATCTTCGTGTCAGCTTTAACTTCTCTGCTGGCAAATTTCGTCCATTCTTTGCAGCAATAGCAGCCTTTTTTCCTTTGTATTTACTTCACACATGGTGTGATCAAACATCTCTCTACCCAATTTCATGTGGCTGAAGACAAAAAGACCATGAAAAAACAATATTATAAAAAAGTAACAGGAGTAAATGGGAAAACAATTCTCGAGTGGGCCATGTGTGTGTTCCTGCCAGGCGAGGCCATCAATTGATGGGACTTTTTTCTACTCTAGACTACATCATTTCTAACACAACTGGGAAGAGGACAATCATATTTTGCCAGGCTGTAATATATCATCATGGCGAGCTCCAAGTTGAATACATACCAGCTTCAGCAAGCCAACTAGTCAGGGAAGAGCCACTGTCTCCAAACTTCTAATGTAAGATAGGTAAACAAGAAATAATCAGTGCTAAGGGTATGTTTTTAATGTCACATTTCTTTATTCACCAGTCACAATAGCTTTTGCTCCACTTCAAGGCTGCCTAAAAGAGTACAGGAGGTGGCTTAATGGAAGTGACTAGTCTCCTCCGGCTTTCTGTTATTTCAGTCTGCCCTGCTGCCAATAAGGTGAAAGCCCGCCTCATTAGATTGTTGTTTACTCCTTCTCCCTTCTTTATCACTGATTGCATTCACCAAGCTGCCATGAAACTATGTGTGCCCACTACTGGCAGGCCTTTATGACATCATCACTAGCCATGTGAGGGATGACATACTCTTGTGTGTCATATATTAAATCCTTAAACACAAGTTGACATAAGTATTAATCAGCCACCACCTTGACTTTGAGCAATGAATCATGTCAACTCGTCATGGTGAATTGATAGCGGGATTCATGACTCCTGTCTCAAACAACACCTTGACAGCTGGTCACTCTCTCGCGCTGACACATTTTTCCAATGTAGCTGTAATAGGGCTCTGTCATTGGCTGGATATATACAGTATAGTCTGTTCCACACTTTGAATATACACTTATGTTCAGTGCCCCTGGCCAACTTGTGGCCCCCCGCAAAGGTGTTTCATTATGTGTCGCGAGCGTTGACGGGGGGAGCACGCTCGTGAACTGTTAGTTCTCCGGAGCCTTGCAGTGGGTTAACTGCGGAGCGCATAATATGTTAATATTTATCTAAAAGCCCTTTTTGCAACCCCATACAGTATGCCGTTGCATTAAATTGTCTCCTTCAGTGATTGTTAAACAACAGCAATTGAGGTGAGCAGGGGCGATGCGGTTAACTATATGGTCCATCCCATAAAGTAAAGACGTAACACATGACTTTATATAACGCTTGTAACACTGCGTCTACAGTAGTTGTTGGCTGCCTTGTTTGAATCTACTTCCTGTACTGGTTAAGAGGTTGTTTGTCCTGCTGCCATTGATGACACCCTGCTGCACCACTGTGAGCTTTTGAGACGACATTCAATTTTACAGTCTGTCACGCCGGATATTCCTTTAATTTCCAGTATACCAGGATAATCCATGGTGTGAATGTGTTCCGCAAACATGCAGGTTTTCTCCAATAGCACTGTCTCCTACTGAGTGTGAACTCTGTGTGTGTGGGTGTATGCGTAGGCATGCGCAGCACTCCCACTGTCATGTGTGTGATTTGATTTCCCCCCCCCCCACTACAGGCAAAGGACCTGAGACGCTGTTCGCGGGGCAGAAGCTGAACGACAATGAGTGGCACACAGTGAAGGTGGTGCGCAGAGGCATGAACCTGCAGCTGTCTGTGGATAATGTCACAGTGGAAGGTTAGTTGTGTTCAGCACACCGAGGGATTCATTTAGGGTTAGACTCAATAACACATCCACACACAGAAAGTTAACAGTTTTGCCATGTGTCATTAAAACGACTCATTTGAAAACGGGAAGTGACTAATTAGGATGATAATGATTCAGACATGGAGGAGGCATATGGTTTGTTATGTTATTATTAAACTGATATTAGGAAGAGTGGTAACATAGCTTAACAAATATATTACTGAGAATACATTTTTGTTCTGCATTCCATATTGGTGAGGAATACTTGTTATGGTCACAGTCTTGCATAATTGGATGTCTCATTTTAAGGCTGAAAATGGTAAACAGGTTAGTAGCAAACCCAAAAAGATGTAAACAAGAGCTGAAATAATGATGCATATTTAATTAAATCCAGGCACCTAACTGAATTTAACAAGGGAGATATACTGTATACCGACAGTGAGTGAGCAGCTGTTTACAAAGTATGGAGTTACATGTTCCTACATCTTATAAGAAAAGAGCAAGAGAATGATGAAAGGTCAAGGTGGAATCACAGCGATCACAATATTGTGGCCTGAGGCGAAATGATGGCAGGTCAGAGGATGAAGTAAGACGTGAGAAAAAAGCTGCACGCTCGATAAAGGAAGAGAGTGGGCAAGCTGAGGCCAGAAACAAGCTCTGAATGGACAAGAATAAAGAAAAGAGCCCAGGGAGGACCTGCAGGGCTGACCAGGCTTCAGCAGGGAAGTCATTCTAATCGGCAGCTTGCCAAGCTCATTATTCTAAATCTACCAGTAAACACAATATCAATTGGTGCGTGTGGAGCAGTAATGAGATTTTCTTCAATGTTATGCTTCTTTAGTTTCCTTCACAGCAGGTTAGACAATATAGGCTTAACCTTTGTGAAGATATACAACAAAACCATATACTGTACAAAGACTGCTTTGGCAAGCAACCAGCATCTATTTACCATCTAATGAGTATAATGAAGATATGCCAAAATGTGCGCTATTTGTTCTTACCACTAAATTACTATAGCAGGCATTTTAAATGCTAGTTCCTGAGTATTGCTTTACAGTTAAATGCATTTGAGTATTTCCCTTACTATTTTAAGTTTGACTTGCAATTTCCCAAGAAGTCATATATTTGTTGTGTAACATATCATGCTTTGAAACGTACAAATGTGTCTTCTTAGAATACTTATAATCCTTTACCATTTTAATTTGGGGTTAATGCTGTTTTGTCTGTATCCCGCCCATTCAGGCAAGATGACTGGTGCCCACACACGTCTGGAGTTCCACAACATTGAGACGGGCATCATGACAGAGCGGCGCTTCATATCTGTGGTGCCCTCAAACTTCATTGGCCATCTCCAGGGCCTGACCTTCAACGGGTTGCCCTATTTAGACCAGTGCAAAAATGGCGACATCTCGTACTGTGAACTGAACGCCCGCTTTGGCATGCGCCACATCATTGCAGATCCGGTGACGTTTCGAACGAAAGGCAGCTACTTAGCGTTAGCCACTTTGCAAGCTTACGCCTCGATGCACCTCTTCTTTCAGTTTAAAACCACCACGCCCGACGGCCTGATGCTCTTCAACTCTGGAGACGGTAGTGACTTCATAGTCGTAGAACTGGTGAAAGGGTGAGTGCCATGTGATTTGAGTTAATTGAGGAAGTGCTATGATTCACTGTTAATTATTTTCTTTCCCACAATCTCCTTTGCCTACTGTCACAAAAATACATTATTTCACCCTTTCCTTTGTGTTTGGCTTTAAAAATGATAGTTGATATGTTTTAAGTTATTTATTTTACTTATTTTCAATCATCAATTGACAGATCAAGTGTTAGCCGTCAAACACTGTGAGCAATAGTGATCAAGCCCATTTCCTGCTAAAGCTAACCCAGTTGCACTCTGTGTGAAATACAGTGAGCATGCTACTGTGTCATCACTGAATCACCACACGAATCAAGAAAAGGGTTATGAATTATCTCTCATTTCTACTCTATGTTCTACAACAAAACTAAATATAAAACTGAAACCCTTTTTTGTTCAAAGTTAATGCAGATTAGTGAGTCATTTTAATGCTGGTATGAATCTGAGTATGCTGGATGAAAGTGACTTTAGTGAAAGGGGATGTATGATCAGTTGCCTTCAAAGATGCACATATCACAGAGAAACAAAGTGGATACATATCAAGTATTTTTTTCTTTAACCAGTCTTTTGGGTGTGCTTTTTACAACCCATTAACTGATAAGTGTTAATGAATAACTGTGCGCACAATTGATTATTCTGACTGCCAACACATTTTGTAAATGTTCTATAAGCTTGCACACACCACAAATAAACTGGTTAGAATTCAAAGCTGTTCATAATTATAGTATCAAAAGGAGGCTTTTGTTTGTGTATCTCTCTTCCTCCTGTGCATGGTTAAAACACAAAAGCCTGAGCTGCCTCTGTAGAACAAAGACAAGAGGCTACATAAAGGAATTGGAATCAAGGTTGAAAAAACCCCATACCTTGAATGAAACAGTCACAATAGCACAAATACAAAGACAGCCATATGTGAGTGGAAGGCAGGAATTGTGCGTCCTCTTCTGCCTTTGGGCATCCGGCATCTTTTTGACAAAACATGTTAATTTGTCAGATGTCAAATCAGTAAATAATCATAAACCCCCAAGCCTCATGAGCAACCATTTCAACTGGTGACATGCTCTTAGAGAATATTAGAGACAAAGTAGGAGAGCACTTCACTTCATTATGCTAATGCAAAATTGAGTGTTGTTGACTTTGACCAGTCATCAGGGTCTGTCATTGAAAGAAAACATGTTGTGATGAGAAAATACAGTTATAATTCTAACTATTACGTTGATTGTCCCCATTTTTCACAAATGATGTTCATTCCCTTCTCTTCAAGAGCAGCTTTTGCATCGGATTTGCAGTGACACAAACCCACTCTCACACTCCGATGTGTTTCTACACAGATTTGTCCACTACGTCTTTGATCTGGGCAATGGGCCGTCGCTGATGAAGGGCAACTCAGACAAGACCCTCAATGACAACCAGTGGCACAACGTGGTGGTGTCCCGGGACGGCAACAATGTACATACCCTCAAGATCGACTCACGCACCGTTACACAGCACTCCAATGGAGCCCGCAACCTGGACCTCAAAGGTAAGAGCACACCTTCTAGTTATGAGTCTTTTAGAAATGTTTACTTGGAGTGTTTTGAAAAAAGTGTCTTCCTTGACAGAAACACAGTCATCATCACACACATTATAACTGCATTTGCTGAAAAGACCAATAGCCCAATTCGTACTCTTCACGTTTAGCCATAAAGTGATGACTGTCTTTGATGGAAGCACCTTTACTTGTTTGACTTCCTTCCTCTTGAATCATCTTCAAGTAATAGCCGTGGTAACAGAGCACTTAAATGCGAATATGTGTCTCCAGTCTGCTGGATGCACAGGTAATTGTAATCTTCAGACCTCATGTTTGCAGGTATGTTATTTGGATGCTTGAGAGTGGTTGCCTGCAGTGCCGAAGAGTGATAGCAATGGAACAAAAAGTAGAAAGTCAAAAAGAAAGACATACAAATGTGTGTCTGTAGCAATATTAAGATAAGCTCCGGATGATTCGCTTTGATTCTGTCTTGTCCCAGAGTCTGGAGTGCTCTTGAGGCTGCTGGTTGTGTAAGACACATCAGAAGTCAGGCCCATCCCCCGGGGGCCACCGACGGATTGGAAGAGTCAAAGGATCAAAAGAGGCCAGAAGCTTTTTTGGGAAGACATGATTTATTGACAGACTTTTTACAGTTTTGTCCTTTGGGGGTATGCATAGTGCAATTAAAACGAATAATCATAACGGGGGTTTACAGAGAAGTGGCACTATGCCAGTGTCCTTACGCTGGGTTGCAGACAAGGCTACAGAACAAGCTTAAACCGGAGACATGGCGATTGAAGAGGGTAAAATTAGATACAGCTGCAGTGATACATGTAATTAGCAGCCTGGTCTCACTCCATGTCGTGGTTAAATGCAAATAAAGTGCGTCATACACAAGGCCAATTATGTTATTGCTGCTTAAGCTCTGGAGGAAGATATACAGCCCTCACATTGTGTGATAATTGAACAAGACTGCAATGTCAATAGAAGTATGAGTAATTACTAGATATAATGAATGCTTGCTTTCAACATTTTTAAATATAGCAAGCTGCAGCGTAATGTGTCTTCATTAATCATTGGTGATGTATAGATGAAACAAGTGCACCCATGCACTGTTTATCATATATCTGCTCTGGTCATGTCCTACAGGAAATGCAGTAATTAATGGCTTTAATAAGGAGTTTCTTTTGTGGACTGATTGCTTCTGTGTCGACTGTGGACAGGGCAGCTGTCAATCAACTCTGAGCCTGTCAATGATGTTTTAAACAGAGCGTGCTGCTATCCTGTAGGTGTTTGACCGTGTTGTTTTAGGTTTCCATCTTATCCAGGACCATTACCCCACATCATACGTGCCTTATACATTTTATTCTATATAAAAACATGATAAACGGTGTCTTTTCAAATCAAGCTGCTTCACAAAAACACCCCACACAGAAGATATATGCTCCATAATTTTTCATTAAAGTTTACAAAATGTAAACATAATCTGTTTTCCCGTTATTAGGCCAGACAGTGTTTTTGTCTTAGCATTCCTTCACAGCATGTGTGATTAATAGACCATTTTACCTCGTTATATAAAACAACACCAACCAAGCGTGCGCCAACAAGATCCCTCAGCTGTCCGCCACAGAACCATGCGGCGACAATGGCTTCATTTGCATATTATATAGTACAGACACCCCATTGAATAATTTGTCTCACAAATTAAACAGAAGGCAGCCGTTTCAGTGCTCAAGAAACACAGAATACATGGCTGGGGATTACCCCTCCATCTGTGTTATTGATCTGAGAGACATCAGTGAGATACTCTTCAAGGGGTCTTTTTCTTTATCTCAGCAACTCTGGTCTTAAGGGTGTGGAGGCTGAGGCAGCTTGGTGCCAGTGGGAAAAGTAATAGTTGTAAATCTTGCTTCAGCGGACTTTGGTGGGGAAGACATGTCTCTATCGTAAATTCCCTCGTCTAATTGGGCATTCAAACATTGCTCCGTGGTGCTGTGACCATTCCCTTGTATAACTATCCAAACACAGCTCAAACACTGCAGTGCCTTAAACTCTGCAGCAAAGCGCCAGACCTTAACATGTGTTAATGAAAACCGTCTTGCAAACACACAAGACTCTTTCAAACATGATAGGCCAATGTTCTTCGCCTTCCCATCTTACATCCGTGTACACAAACACAGTGTACTCTTTCCCGACGCTTTGTCAATCTAACACAGACAGAATTGCAAGTGACTCCTTACAATCATTTTGCTCTTTCCTACACCGTTTCTGCCCACATTTTATAAGAAACCCAATTTCCAATCTCTATCTGTGTGAATGCACGGAGAGAATGGGGGAAATGGGTTTTGTGCACTCTGTCTTCCTTCTCTTTGTTTTTGGACAGGCAAAAAAAACCTTCAAGGCAGCCATCTTTGTCAGTTAAAGTACAGTGAGGGAACAACACTTAGTCCTGGAGGATAGCACTGAGTGGAGTTAGTGTATATTTGAAGACAGACACAGTTTTGAGATCATGTTGACAAACTGCAGAACACAGTTCTCATATGTAAACAAAGTCAACAGGATCTTTATCAAATATGCCAAACTTTGTAACATCACAGCAAGATGTGATAATACAGATTTTGCGGAAACATAATATTAATCACACAAAGATGAGTTTCATAACACTATTTACTACCCTACAGTGAGTGCAAATATGTTTTACTTGTAATTTGGATATGGAAAGTGAGACTCAGCAGATGTGACTACATCCTGAGTTGAAGCTTACTTAAACACAGTGTTACGCTTCAAATTAATTGGAGGCAGAGAGTGTTCCTTCATCCATATACATATGTTTCACCAGCATAGTACATCATTACCAAACTAGGACTGCTTGTTCGGGTCAATATGTTCTCATTCCAGTCAGAACATATTCCTTTGGTCACCTTACAGCAGGGGTGCCCAACCAGTCGATCGCGATCGACCGGTCGATCGCGGGGAGATTCCCAGTCGATCGCGAGATGTGTCTAAAAATAGAACAACAATATTCTGTTTTATCGTTAATAACATAATCTTCCTGTGCCAGAATAATGCACTTGAACGCATCAAAGCTTTGTGATTGGCCGGCGTGACCCCATGTGTCGGGGCGTGGCTGGTGGGTAGTGGGCACTAGTTAGCTGACGTTGTCCGTGTCAACAGGAGTGACAGTCCGCACACACACAAGACCGCAATTATGGCAGAAGCAAAAAAGCCCAAAATATATAATTTTCACTCCGAGTGGGAGGATGATTATTTTTGTATCTATTCCAATTCAAAGTCCAATTCAAAGTCTATCTGTCTCATGCAATGCGAGCGTGGCTTTATCGAAGAAGGGTCATTTAGGAGCGGCATTTCAAAACAGTGCACAAACGCTACGAGACGGAATCCCCTCCTAATTCTGCCCTACGCTCCCAAAAGGTGAGGGACCTGAAAGGACAGCTAAATGCACAGCAGTCACTTTTCACCAGGCCCAACAACAAGAGCAAGGCTGCTACCATAGCATCTTATCGTGTCAGTCACGTTCTTGCCAAACACATGAAGTCTTTCAAAGACGGCGAAGTTGTGAAAGAAGCATTCCTGGAGGCTGCCGACGCGCTTTTTGGGGACAGTAAAAATAACAGTAGCATTTCAACAGGTTTTTGATATAATAAAAACTCAAGTTAGATACCGTTATTAATCCGCTGTAAGTTTTAGTTTGTTTGAACTTATTCATTATAATTATTGTACAAAATGGTATAAGAATGCAAACTTAAATTGATTATAGTCTATTATCAATTCAGGTTAAGAAACTAGTGTTGCTTGCATCCTATTTTAAAGGCATTTCTTTTTATACTCTACTAAAATGCAACAAAAAAAGGGTTTGATTCTATTAATTGTGTCTTTTTTATTGCACTTTGGCAGCAGATTCCTGTGTAGCTTCAGATCTGAGTTGTTTTATTAGTAAGCCTAATTTATACTTTTGTAGCAACACTATTTTTATATAATGGCAAAGAAAGGGTTCAGAGTCTTTTCTTTTTTTCCTGTGTCATATGTGGCAGCACTGTTCAATGTTTCTTGAAAACATTACCCACTGTAATATGTGACGTGTGAATAAACTCCAACTCTGTATCAACAACACTGTTGTGTAACTTCAGTTAAATACTTGTATGTGTGTTGATTAGAAAGAGGTAAGATAAAGGATCTGCAGTATTTTATGAAGTATTAATCGTACAAAGGTCAGTTGTATACAAGTAGAAGTGTGTATTTACCTGGTAGTAGGCTGTCAGTAATGGCTACGCCTCTCTATTTGGACTGGTAGATCTCGGCAGACTGGCAACTTTAAAAGTAGTTCTCGGTTCAAAAAAGGTTGGGCACCCCTGCCTTACAGGGTAGAACAAGTGGAGCTTATTGTCACAGACACATTATAAAGACTATTTCAAACATTTCTTAAGCTCAGATAAGCTTGCCAAACTAAAACTAATAGGCACCTGCTAACCTTTTTCCTTAACTCATACTTTTCATTGAATCATCTATTATGTCCATATCTAGTCATATTCAGCATGATACTGTGCCTGTTCAAGACTAGATAGAGATACTGGCCTTGATGAATGTCAAACATCACAACAGGAAGCAACAGTGCAATGAACATTATCTGTCATCAAATGTTTCTTTTTGGAGCGCTCGTGACTAGAATGTTCACAATAGGGATCCTGTGCGGTATAAATTGTTATCGGTTAGTAACAACCCCCCTCCGTAGGCGCTATGCTCCAATAAAAATGTAGTAAATGATCACTGAATAAGTTCCAAAGCAATAATGGCCCCCCTTTTCAAACACATCCCTCCAACCTCTGCAGGGAGGTGTCAAACAGCTCTGGATTTAATGCTTCATGTTGAGTACTTTCTGATATGTTGTCACATACACCTGAAATGGTTTAACTAGTTTACCTGTATGGTGTGAAGTGTGTCAACTCTTAATGACAGTATAATATCAATATTATTTGTATCGCTTGTCAGGTGTT